TATACCGGGTGTTTTCAGCTTCCTTGGTCCCTCTTGCTAAGGGATATCTTCGAGAACTGCGAAATCAGGCCACGCTTCGCGATAATAGTAGTACCGCTCTTAGTTATATAAAGCTATGCTATTATAAGAGGCTCTTAATTGCCTAGGCGAACTAAGTATTATATTTACCTTTAATTTACGACTATAAGAGTATAGATATTTTACGTATATATATATCGGTATAGGCGGTTTAACTAGACTAGGTAATTAAACGTTAGCTTTAAAGGTAGCTAAAAATAGCTATTCTATATATAGGGATATAGAGAAGGTAAAGTAAAGGGTAGATTATACTACTATAAAGTAAGTAAAGGCGTAGGCTTAGGTGCGGTCTATTAAAAGAAGGTTAATAATCTATAAAGGGGAAAAGGAAGAGAAGTACGGGCCTAGCCTATATAGGCGCGGAGGCCGCTTATATATAGACTTAGCCTAGACCCTAGTCTAGGCCTATATAAGGTAAAAGCTCTTATATAATATAATTATTCCCCCTTACTTCCTTTAAAAATATCTTAGGAAAATTAAGGGTTCTAGCTTAATAAGTAATATCCTTTTTTAAGGGATATATAATTTATATATTTCTAGTAGTGCCTTTTAATATAGCTAGGTTCTTTACTTTAATACTATAATTTAAGTATTATAATAGCGTTAATAGCTCGTAAATAGCTTTAAAGGTAATATTAATAAGTAAAAAATAATCTAGTTATATAGACCGGGCTTATAACTCTTAAGTAGGGGCTTAAGAGTATAGTAAAAGAAATAGGGGTATAAAAAGGTAAATTTAGTAATATATATCTTAGTCTATTTATTAGGATAAGAGAGGGGCTTATATAAGTATAGTAACTATATATAGCTAGCTAAAAGAGGGTATTAAGATATTCCTATACCTAAGTTAAGCCTATATAATATCCTTAGGCTAAAGGAGTTATATTAGTTAGGCAGGCTTCCCTATATATAAACTGTTAGGTCTACTAGGTATACTTATAGCCTCTTATACTTACTCTCCTTAATATAATCGTATTTATATATATATAATATTTTAAACTAGTAGGGCATTAAAGTAGTATATACCGGTACTATTATAATAGATAAAACTAATAGAGAATACTTCTAGTAGTTTAGTATAACTAGTAATATAGGTTTAAGTAAGGTTTAAACGAGGTTCCTATACCCGAGTTATACTCCTTAAACGTCTTCTTAGGAACAATCATGTTATAGGCATTTACGTGGCAAGGGTCTGCGTAGTAACTATGCAGTGACCCCAGCCCCCAAGTGCACAGCATTAAGAGGGAAAACTGTGCGAGAGTAGCTCTACCTGGCCTCTTCCCTGGTAGAAGGGGCGTGCCTACATATATGATATGCCTAGGTCTCCGGCGAGGCTGTAGCCCGCAGGCTAGGGTCACCCCATAGTGACATGACAGCTACGGACTACGAATTAAGTTAAGTTAGAAGTGGGTGCAAAAGTGAACGCCTACAATACGCAGCCTCGCTGGAAGGGGCTTGTAGCTAGCCTCCTCAAACTCTTCTCCCTTTCACAGCACGTTTTGCATTCCAGGCATGTCGCCGCCGCCTATAATGGACAACTGGGACTACAGTTTCACAACCCTCTGGCGATACAACGGCCCAGCCGCCGCCACTAAGTCACTTGGTCTTCGGTTTGGTCGATTAGATAATCTGGAAGGTCCCTTTTCCGATGAACCTCCGGGCCATCCCTCTGCGGTAGGGAAGTGTCAAACTATATAGGGGTCTGCTGGTACCGATGCGCGCTCGCCCCACACTAAGGCGGCTGCTAATAACTACTTGGTCCCCTATTTGGTATTGCGGCACGCTCTTTGGGACAGTGATGTTATTGAATTGGAGGCAAATTGGATTAGACTGGATTAGACAGAAAAATGGCTGGACTGGATTCCGATTCTCGAAGAATTGGATTGGATTTGATCGATTGGCAGCGGTTCTGGAGCTCCAATAGTCTAACCCGATAAACAAATAACTTAGTCTAAGTCCAATTTGGTACCCCAACAAGCACCTTGTCGCTGGTTACGACACCTCGCTCACCGACGTTCTGTGGCACCACCTCCGACGGACGAGGTAATTACCCTTGGGGTAAAATAGGAACTGGATCCGTTCTGGGTATCCTAGAGGGCCCCGACGCGCCGTTCTAGACTGGACTGGAGCGAGGCTCGGATCCAGCTACAATCCAATCCAATAACATCACTGCTTGGGAACCCTCCCGAGCGGACATGTATATCAAGTAATTACTCCGTGCTCCGTACCGAGTGTGAAGATGCGGACATAGGACGGGTCTCTCCCCGTTTAAATTCCACGATATATATTTCGTAGTTGCCGCCCGGGCCTTATCGCTATTCATCAACTACGCAACGCCTATTCTGTTTCGACTTTTATATGCTTCATGCGAAACTGTCGACATGTATTCTGTCACCACCCTTATAGAATTAATTAACCTACAACTTAGCACGCCATATAGGCATAATAAACCTATAGCTATCCTTAGATTTTATAACCTTAAGTATGCAAGAGACCATAATTAACTATAATCCTAATCAAGGGTTATAATATATCTTTTAGTTAAGCCGGGACGTACGATGGCATTGCATCGGGCCCGAGCATGGCGCCAACCTCCCTGCCATTGGCCGCGCTGGCGCCGTCGCATACGCCTCGCAGCACCGGCCGCAGGAGCGTCGCCATTGCCAGATGGCTGCCGTGGCGCACCTGGATCCTGTTGGCAACGAGGACCGAGACCACAGCGAGAAATAGCTGGAAGCCCACGGTGAGGCCCAGGATGTAGTGTATCTTGTTCCAGCCGAGTATCTCTAGCGAGATGCCCCTGATAGGCACGCGCCCCGGGTATATAGACACAGGAGTTTGACCTGGCTGTTATAGCAATGACGCCCAATGCAAATTGTTCTAAGTCGCCCTGTAGGCCGAATCGGAAAAATAGCACGGCGGGATAGCTCTGGAACTGCATCTGCTCGGCGTCATCATCGACGTCGCCTCGGAGCGCGATGGCGGGAGCGGCTAGGCGCGAGAGGCTGGTGCCCAGCTTGTGCTCCTTGATGACCCGCGTTGGCGACAGGACCGACGGTAATATTACACCTAAAGTACCAGGGATCCGTCTCCGAAGCCTCCAAAGCCGTTGCAATGCTCCATGTATCGCCTGACTCGTCGGCCTGGGCTTCCTTTGCCTTTCCCATCAAGTTTGACCGCTGCAGATGCATGAGTGCCGCTGTTCACCTGACCTTGACGAGGAAAGGGCTGCTGTTGCTGGCATTCTGGACCTTCGGGCGCCCCGGTTACGGGCCTTCAACGGCGGAGCATCTGCTTATGTTGCCCGCCCGAAACGAAATATAATCTAATATTACATATAGAAATATATATATGTCTTATGGGCGGGGAGCATGGCCGGGGCAGGACTAAGCTGATCTTATAAGATCATTAGTGGATCTATTGATATAGGCCCCGTCGCCCTCATTAAATGAGTCTTTATAGCCAAACGCTGCACTTAAATTAAGCTTAAGCCAAAAATGCTATAGTCAAACACCTCCTTGTTCCCTTTATTGGAGCTGGAGTACAAGTCAAGGGATGAGGCAAGCCTGTAATTCGGGATTAGGCAGAGCTAGGAAGACTAAAAGCCGCTAGAAGTTCCAGCGCACTGCACGAAGGATTACCACCGGTCGTCCCTAGGTGCCTCACGGGTATTTGTTTTAGTTATTATGTTTTTAATTATTATATCACGTATATCACAGCTTTTTATCACAACTTCTGAAATGCCGGATCACTGCCACTGCTGCGCCGCTGCTACGCCGGATCAAGGTATATTATATATTGTCGCACGCTGCATACACGTCTCCACTCCGCCTTACTTCTTGAATTCTTGTCACCTCGGTGTGTATGGATTCTCCGCCCCGCAAGCAGAACCGCCTAGTCCTCCAGCTTTAATGCCTCATCGAGTCACAAACCGCCTCGCCCGTGTGTGGCATAGATCTGCCGTTACGCAGTAAGCCACGCGATATACAGCAACGGGCATGGCTCCAGGAAAGGGGCGGCAATGGCACCCAACCCCGCGGACGAGGCGCGACTAACGCCCTCGAAACAGGAGCCGATGACTCCCCCGACCGCAGCTAGAGAAGCGCTCCTCCGGCAGGCCCCACGCGACGGCCTTGCCGAATTGCAGTTGCGACGATGAGCACAGCAACCCAACGACTCTCTATTCGGCTCCACATGTAGCCATAGCACCGACACTAACACCGACTAGCTAGATACTATAGTGGGAGACGCAGCAGACAAACCCGAGACCCATGAACTAGACGACCTGCCCGAGGCTTAAGACCTAGCAGTAACGGTCGGCAGAGAGACTCATCTCTGCCTTGATGGAAGCGCAGCAGGCAAAGCTGACCGTCTTTCGCGCACTCTACACCGCCTTCGACCAGACGGCTGCCTACCCTCGGGCCCTGCGCTCAACTTCGCCAAGGACTTTTCACGCGGCTTCCTCAGCTACTAGGAAGACGCGCTCAACAGCCCCCACACTCCACACGCGCCGGCAAGAACGTCAACAACCGCCACTGACGAGACAAGACGGTCAACGCACCGACCTACGCCTCTATGGCCTGGAAGGGGATGGCCTGGCTAGGGTGATATTTAGTATATATTATAAGTCCTCGCCGTATTATAACAATCTTCCAATCCTTCGTACGGCGCAGCAGTGGCAGTGAGGTCACTCTGAGCCTCGCAAAAGATCACATGTGCCTAAGAAGCCATGGCATCCTCGAGGGACCCGCACACCGTCGCCAATGATGCGCTCCTAGAGTCCGAAGCTATGATTGCAACTTAAAAGCCTCGAAAGAGTACCAAGTTTACAGCCATTTTCAGAGCACCAAGTTTACAGCAATTTTCAGAGCATGCAGACTGTCTTATTCACTCGGCACTTGTACTAAACTTATATACTCACCATGCGAATTCTTGTCACGCTCGCTCAGTATGCGCTCCCGGCTCTCGCTCTGGCTCACCGCCGCCAGAGTACAAACGGCACCAGCTTGGATCCTTGCGGTCTCGTCGGCGAATATTTCGATTATGTTGCCGGCCAGTTAGGGAATCAGACCTCGCAAGCAGTTAGACCTGGCCAGCTAGCCCAAGACTGTCTCTTGTCTTTTCCTTATGACCGCGACTTCGCCAACAAAACCATCCGGGAGCTCAGGAAGTACGTCGAGTTCCGATCGAGCCTAGAGCTCCTAAAGAATCCGCCAAAAACATATATGTCCAGAGCAGTAGACATTGTTGGCGGCCTTGAAAGGATCGGCGAGAAGGATTACAGCAGCTAATATAAGTTCGATCTCGACCTCCAGCGGCTCTTCACCTCCGCTCACGACAGTCATTTCGATTACAAACCTTGTTCACTAGGGCTCTTCTACTCCTCTCAACATGGCGCCCACTTGGTATCCGTCTCTAAAAACGGGCTAGATCTGCCCGACCTCTACCTTTATAGCGACATCAGCAGCTCACGAGGCAGTGTCAACGCTTCTCCCATTGCTAGCATCAACGCGCAAGGTGCAATGCAATATGTTGAAACAGCTAGTGCTGCGAGCGTGGAGCAAGATCCAGACGCTCGGTGGAACTCTTTAATGATGAATAAGGCAGGAAGACCCTCTGGCTTGGCAGTGACATCCTTGTGGCCGGGAGCGAACCAAACAACCATTGCACTACGTGACGGCTCAGTTAAGGTGTTTGACACAGTGGCGAGCCTTAGCCTCAATATTTCCTCGACTGCTTTTACCACTTCACGGCATGTTTTCGATGCTACATGCGGCTCTCCGTCGTTCCTAGCGAGCCTAAACGCTGACTCAGACGATGAAGGGCCGTTCCAAACAGGTCCTGAGGGCTATCCTGAGCCACGGATTCGCGACGACCTTAACCAGATCTTAGGGTTTGATTTAGATTCTGAAACAGTCGTCATGCGAATTCCTACATTTGGAAGATCAAACAACTCGGCAACTGTTGCAAAGAAGGCCACCGAAATCATTACTCAGGCAAAAGCCTCCGGCCGAAGCAAGCTCATCGTTGACGTCTCTGGCAATAATGGCGGCGAACAAAATCGCTACTTTAATAACTTCTCCCTCTTGTTCCCAGATCCATTTCCCTACGATGCGCTACGCATTCGAAGGAGCGATAGCACTGCAATCATGGCCAAATTTCTAGAATCACCTTCGGCCAACGATTCAAATACGAATGTGTCTTTGAATTACCAAGATTTCTTAAGACCAGATCGGCAACGAGGCTTCTCGTCTCTGGCCGAGTTCCTTGGGGAGGAAGAGATTTCTGGGACGAAACTTACCGCTCTCCACACAGTCAACTTTACCAAAGAGTCGACCGCAGAGAGGCCGATTCGCGGACATGGAGCCGCTCTCGGTGACATTAACAAGACGCTTGGGTATGGGCCTGAAGATGTACTTATTATCACCGACGGCTATTGCCATTTATCTTGTGCTGCCTTTGTCGATCTGTTGAGCCATATTGCCAAGGTTCGAACCGTGGTTTTCGGCGGTCGCCCGCAGCTCGGACCCATACAAGGAATTAGGGGTGTTCGAGGCGGAAATGTCGTCCAGTTTTCTGCACTTGCAGAGTTGGCACGCGAGGTGGTTTCTACGGAAGCCACTAACCACACTACCACTAACCTTACCGGTGACTGGTTCACCGATGCTGATAGGGAGCTCGCCAAGACAAAGCTCCCCGGGTTTGACGCTTCATTCGGCTTGGCAAGATCGGTTAACTTTCAAAATAAATACTATATGGACAACGGCAATCTTTTCCTTCAATTCGATTATCAATCTGCCGAGTGCCGACTTTTCTTCACCGCGGACAACGTCAACTCGCCTGCCACGGCCTGGGCCGCCGCCAAGAAAGCCATCTGAGGGGGCGGTACTTGTGTTGAGGCATCACCTGCACCAGAGGGCAAGAGGCCGGCGACAGGGCTTTGGAGTGCCTCCATTTCGACCGACACTACCGATTCAATCGCAACTGCGCATACTCGGACCCAAACCAAGAACACCAGCTTGGCTTGCAACACCTTAGGCACCGCCCTTGCCACCGGCCCCAAGGAGATAGATGCTGTCTTATCCGCCAAGGTCAAGGGCGCTACACCAACTCCGGGCCCTGCTGCCAATGTTAAACAAGGCTTGCACCGCTCTGAGGCTGTCGCATCACGGCAGACCTATATTAATGCAAGGGACCCCGGCCCCCTACGCATATAAGACACCGCGGCCTCTTAGGCACCTATTTAAGGAGGCCTAAGAGCCCTTCCCCTAGCTAGTAAGAGGACAGATAAGTTATATATATATATATTATTTAAGCCCCCCTATTATGCCCTCCTTTATACCTATAGCTACGCCTCCGCGCTAGTAAATACGATATTATAAGCCTAGTATATATTACTTAACGCTACGCCTAAATTACTATACTATATATATCGCGCCCGTAGTAAGGCGCGGCTATAGGAGGAGGGAAGACTATTATTATAAGCCTTTTCTTTTAATCTTCTTAATAAGGGGCGACTTGGGTATATAGCCTATAGAACCCCTTACCTATAAAAAGGGGTAATATTAGCTATAACGCTATAAGCCTACGAGACTGCTAATTTTTCTCCTTTAAAGAAACAAGAAAACTCTAAAAACAACGCTATCTTAGCTTTAAACTAAAATATTGCCCGAGGTTTTACTCAGATCTTCGCCACTTTGTCTCATATTTGCCCTCGACTATGTCACGCCCGAATTGCACTCCTATAGGCACCCTCCCCGACCTCGAGATCTTAGACATTCCCGCAAATATTAGCTATTTTATCGTCTCTGGATATAACTCGAGTCACGCCTTCGCTGAATGCTGCGCGCCTAGCCCCGTTAGGCTTGCTAATGGATGCTACGAGTGGTGCGAAATTCCGGAAATCTACTATCAAAAGCTGTCATCGAATCTCCAGCAAGTAGCTGCCTCGTCCTTCAAGGCCTGCCGGAGGAGCAAGGGGTCGCTTGCTGGTTCTATTTCTGCCGTACATATAAGCACGGCAGGACGTCTCCTAGTGCCACGCTCGCCAGGGCTTGGAATTTGGTTATGGTTAATAATTATGTTAGCTTGGTGGGCGCGAGGGTAGGCCGTCTAAGGAATATGCATAATTCAGCCCGAAGGGCGTTTTACTCAGTCAGAAAGAAAGTATAAAACCTCATCTGATTAGCTAATTGGCCTGGCCTGTGCTCAACTCGTGTGCGAATTGGTCGAATGTTAACGCCACCAGATGAAGGCCTTGCCACAACCGCCCCCTGCCGACGGCAATGAGTTGGACAGACTGTGCAATAATATCACTGTCACATTACTAAGGATTAGAGCGATGGTGTCGAACGTTCTAGATAACAACGTCACCTAAGCAGCCTAGGTGGCAAGTGGCAACATCGCCACCTAATATAGCTGCGACGAGGAGGGTAGTACCCTCCACGGAAGACTCCTATACAAACGGCAGACCCACTACTAAAGACAGGGGGTATCCTCCACGGAGAATTTGGCGTTCAATAGAGGGTACGTTAAATGGCAGTTTAAGAGCATACAATTGTATAGGGAGAAAGCCTAAAAATACACGATTTAAATTATCTAATTTGCAGATGCAAGCTAAGCGTATTGAGTGAGAAATAAGCAGTTGTCGATTTAGTAAAATATTTTTTAATAGTGACGATAATAGGGTTGTATATCGCGCGAATGCCGATAAGGGAAAAGGCGGTGGCCAATAGGATCGAAGCCGACCTAGTGCAAGGACAGCCTAGCGCGAGATTAGGCCCGTTTTCAACCCCATATGAAAACCCAAAGCCAGCGGGCCAAGGAGATAGTGTCACGTGCGGGCGTGACCAGCCACACATCCCCAGCTTTTTTCGGCCGGTTAGGCAGGCACGTCGGCCGGTTAATTAGTCCCCCCATTTTTAAACCTTAGTGTCAAACATAGCAAATGCCACTTGACCACTAGCAAAATAGGGGCATCCCCGATAGAGTTATTATTGGTATAATTTATATGTCTTCCTCCTGCTGACACTTACACAGCACAACTCACTCGCGTCCACCCTCTGCACTTCTTCTGCCATGTGACATCAAGGCCTGTTAGACGTCATCCAGGCCCTGCTTTACAAGCAGATGTCAGCTGTTTCCCACTACCTGCAAACGAGGCAAAAGGCGGGTTAAATCATAGCATGCCGGTACGTTAACAGTTTTCGTCCTCTGATCCTGATTATATTTCAAATCATGTCTTTGAAAGGCCGATCTACATGTAAGCTAAACGGAAACCTAGTCCTTCGAATGTTATATTTAGCTGCTATCTTCGACTCCAGCTGGCTATAAGAAAAGGTATATACATGATGCGTCAACCTGGGCGGGTGCTGCACATTACGGTATTGGCATTCAGCCAGCTCCCCTATGATCAAAGCAGCCAGCCCCATAGCCGCCAACTGAATATAGTCCCACCCCATTTATCGCTCCCTACCTTTCTCAACTGCTTGCAGTAAGATTGGCCAGTAGTACCTCCTCTACAGTATGTAGCCAGCAAGTACTTAAAGCGGGGCTACGATCGGAAAGGAAATACCGAGATATGGGTAAATAGAGACGCCTACGTCTACGCGACCCTCGGAACAATTGAACCGATAGCCCCCCGTTATTCACCGTCTGCTTCATCGAGCTTGGACTTCTCACAATAACTACGTCGCGCCAAGTCTCGACGACGAACTTCTATTCATGAATGAGAGGATGATTCTGCCAGTCTGAAGTTACTTGGTACAGGCAACATGAGGCCGGGCATCGGCATTTTCATGGCGGTTGGAGACGCTGTTCCCTTCAATACCATTGATAGCATTTCCAGAAGAACCGCCTTCACCCACGGTACCACGACCGATAGCAACGACCTGGCCACGAGTAGCAACATCAGGCACACTGATAGATCCCCCGCACTTCCAAGTTCACGAAAAGGTCTTCGAGACTTTTCCTGTCCGGGGGGCTGTACGACACCGAAACGTTCTCGGTGGAGATGCCGCCGACAGGGCATTTTGCCCCCGCTTTGCCGCAGCCTTCGACGATGTAAATGATGGATATTGTGGCGCTGATAGTCCCGCTTTGCATCGCCTTGAGGCAGGGCAGTCTGCTGAGCTGGGGCCACGAGGTCTGCCGGGCAGATAACAGTTTAAGGGGTAATGGTCCTGGTAGAAGATTCGCCCTTGGATGCACGGCACCAAACCTGTGTAGGTGGCGACTGGGAATACCACATCCGAGGCAATGATAGTTGCCATCTTAATTGGGGCTGGAGGGACGCTCGAGGGGCTTGATTCACTGGAGCTGGTGAGGCCTGTTGTAACTTGAGAGCTAAAGTCTCCCGAAGAGCTCCGGGGGGTCCCTGATGCACCAGGCTCGCCGGTCTGTTGGGCTTTCATACCCGGTGATGAACTCGACAGAGAAGACTCGGCTCGTACGGAGCTGGAGCTAGTTGTGTCGCTCGTAGAGCTCGTTGAAGGCTTGGAATCAGGCTTGTCGGTGGCCTTGACTATGTTTTCAGCGGCGGCCACGGTGATGTCTGTCGCCGACGGCTTCGTCACCTTGGAACTGGTGCCTGTAGGCACCTTCGGGGCAACTATGCCTGCAGCGAGAGGCTTGTTTGGGGCACCGACAGGGGTAATGTCTGGCTTAGGCATCTCGAACTTGGCGCTCGTCCCAATTGCCAACAAAACCCTTCCCTTCGAGCCATTGGTGACCACAGTGGCCGGCAACGGCGCCTACGTTGTCTGTAGACTATCGGAGAGCTGAATCTACAGCAACAACGCCGCAGACACAGGCTAGAGCAGCCGTTGCCAGAACAAGAGAGGCATGAATCACTTGGCGCAAAGTTATGGGCCGAGACCGGGCTTTGATATTTCGGCCACTCCCAGCACACCCACTAGGCCGCCATGCCATTATGCCTCATTGGGCCACTCATTGTCACGCAAGGCCTTGCCCATTCGTGCCACTAGGGCAGTAGCCTAAGCAAGATAAATAAGGCGACGGATCCGCTGATGGTTGACTGGCCACACCACCTCCCTTCGTTTATCGAGTTACCTGTCTAATCATTCCTACAGGCGTTGCCAAGATCGTGGCCAACTTCAAATTCGCTCGTCATCTATCCATTCGTTAGAAGTCCAACCATGCGCTCCAATGTGATCCTGTTCTGGTCGGCCATCTTCAACGTCGCTGCCGCAGCGGACATGGCCGTCGACGGGGGCGAAAGTCATATCGTCGTCCAAATTGATCCAAACGTCGCCGTCATTCCGCTAAATACCGCGCTTGCCGCTGCGTCCCCCGTGGAGCTGTTTCGCCTGAGCTGCCCCGAGGAGGCGGCGAACCCCCGGAGACCTAGGGTCTTGGGGTCTTCCTACGACGTGGTGCAGACGGATGCGTTTGAACGACGAGAGATTTTTGCTTCGTCCTCTAGCTTTGTCCGTGGCGCCATTGAGGCATGGGGCCGGCACCAGCACCTCGTGCTGCGCCCAGAGGAAGTCTGGTTTGAGATTCTAGCCCAGCTTAACTTCTATATGGAGAAGAACGCCGATAAGGTCCGCCATGTCTTCGTCTCCCACGAGGCCAAGCAGAGTATCGTTGTCCGCCTCGATCGAACGGCTCAAAAAGATATCGAGGCTATGATCACCAGTTTTGAAAACGTACTAAAGGAAAAGGTCAAAGCGCCTTGGCTGTCGGATTGGATCAAGCCGGGCTTTAGCACTTCGTCTGCCGAGGACGAGCTCACGGCTACGGTGCTCATGATGGGTCTTATGCAGCACTACTTTGAATACGCGGCCTTGGCGATTTGTGGTTTGCCTTCCGTGTCACTACTTGGCACCAAGGATGACTGGATCAGCCTCCGACGCAAGCTCGACGACTTGTCCAAGTTCGGCGAGGAGCCTGCCGAGTACGCTAGGGTGCTCACGCCGATCTTGGATGGTTTCGTCAACACTTGGGATAACAAAGACTCCCCCGACACAAAGGAATTCTGGTCCAAGATCGTCAGCGGGGCGGTAGAGGACCATATTTGCACCAGAGTCAACGTCATCAGCGGCTGGATCACCGGCTTCTACTTCTGGAACAAGCAAGGGAACATGATTGCAAGCCGAGAGCAGCGCGAGAAGCGAAAGGCCGCCACGGTACTGGGCGACGTCAACTACTTAACCCAGATGGCGGAAAATCTTCCCGTCAGCTATGCCAAGGTGCCGGTCAAACTAATCAGCGAGGGGATGGATGCATACCTGTTAGCCGGTAACGTTGGCGTGTCTAGGACGATGGCGCCTGACGGCAGGCCCGTCGCCGAGCCCATGAGTGGCTGGTACTTGTACGGACCCGTGGATCGAGACTACAAGTTCGAGGGTAAAGGCAGCAACCAGGAGGAGTTGAATGCAATTAGTGGTCTGGTCAACCAGTGCATGAGAGACCAGGGTCTGGGCGACTTGCTTACCAGGGTGGGAAGAATACAGCCAATTAGTTAAGGTCCATTGATTCAAGCTATGTCTATCAGGCAATACAATGGATGTACATGCACGTAAATGTATGCAGCGGGCGGGAATTCGCGTGCTTTCCCAGTGCTACCTACTGAGGGCGAGCCCGGGACACCCAGGGGGGATCTTCAACCGCCACTTGTAAGGAATGTTGGCTTGCGACCCTCGACGTCTGGTGAGAGAGAGAGAGTGTGTGTGTGTTTCTTTTTCAGTAGTATTTATTCTACGCTATTTTGCAGAGAGAGAGAGAGCCTCCGCCAGCTTACCCAAAAGGCGGCTAAGTGTGTAGACATGATCAAGTTCCGCCATTGTAATTTCCGAAAGCTCGACAAACTGTTTCTCTTTTTACCGTGGATTTCCTCGGTTGTTCAATCGAGCGAGGATAGTACCACGGGCTTTCAACCGAACCTCATACCGTTGTCCTGAAGGCACTTTTCGTGTCGAATTTAAGTTCCAGTTTTTGCGACCTGCTCCTGTCCAAGCAGGAATTTACTCCTCCATACTTCCAGCTCCTGCCGGAGACATTAGTTTAGATTTGGTATATTCGAGACCCAAGTTGAGACAAACGCATCCGGGGGGAGACTAGCCAGAGCTCTAAAAGTTTCGACTAGTAGAGCAAGCCGGGCAAGAATGTAAATCAGCACAGACACAAAGCCCCACCACTGCATTCTTAGCGTTGGGTTTTCTCCAAAGGATAATAGCTTGTCGTTGACAATGAAGATGAGATACGGGAGGAAAGCTATTGGCATGAGGCATGTTGAGAGGATGCTCGAAATATGCCAGAGCCGCTCCTCGAGCGGAGTTGGGAAATGCAAGTTCCATCCAGCGACATGAACTGCGCCGAACACGACTCCACCAATGCTCATGCCGAGTGCATATACCGGAAAGTTTCCTTTGATGATAGAGTCGTTGGGAATCCTGGCATTTGGGGGATTCCTGATTTGGAGGTAGGGGTCGGTGCCAGGAATGAAGAGTATTCGAAGTGGAGCAGATTCAGTTGTGTTTCCGATCCAGTTTACGTGTCGCTCTGAGTCGGCCTCTATTAGTGGCAAGGGGACTTGAGCACCCTGAGGTTTCGGGACAAGGAATATGTATGTGACGACAGCGCACACTGAGAAGGCGGTGACAACTAACTCGAGCTGGGCTATCGCAAGACCTTTTGCAGCCCTAACGATGACCTGAATCGCTGTCCAGAGAATTTGAACGATGGCAACAAGTTTTACGAATGAGTTAGCCTTGCTCTTGTCGTGAATTTCGGCTGTTGTGATCATTGGTAGTCTCTTCATGACTCTCTCCCGTCGCATTTCGAATATATCTTTGCTACCCAAGATGTAGGATTTCGTCAAGCCCTGAGGGCCCAATTCTGGAATGAGGACCTTGACGGGCGGAGTTTTTTTTTTCGCATTGGCATGCTCGATGACGGGAGCTGCAGCTATTCGACCCTCTTCGCTTATCTGGGGCTGTCTATTGTCATGGCCGTCTTCTTGTCGAGTCTCTGGCTGCTGTTGTCCCTCGCGTACAACCATGGTAAATCCGCCCATCATTGCGAAAAATCCATGAGTCAATCCCCACTCGACATTGTCAATTACCGCAAATCCGTGCATATCCCTTTTTACCGCCCTTGCCACCACAAAGTCGCCTATGGCCTTGCCCATGATGAATTCTGGCCCGAGAATCGTGAAAACCATCCACTTGAGGTTGGTAGAGAACCCTGGAATGCTCCCCGTGACACTGCTCCAGCAGCCTTTTGCCCCTGACCTTATGTCGTACCACAAACGGCGGCAAAAATTGGGCTTCTGCTCAAGAAAGTCGATCTTGTCGAGACGATTTTGCAACGGCTCTTGGACCTGATCTCGCTGCTCTGGGATATTGAGGTGTTGAATAGACCAAGTGCAAGCAAAGATGGTGAAAAGGCAGCTCCATAGGATGTTGAGAGTACCCCGCGAGTCCGGAGACGAGACGAAATTGACCGGCGTGTCTGGGACTGTACAGGTCGTGTTAAATCGCGTGTAGGTATGAGACCTGCCAGCTGCAAAGAGAAGGAGGATTATGAATTTTAGCATGGTGAAATGTGCCGCCGACGAAATTTATATCGAGATCTGTCAGAATCCTATCTGGCCCTTTAAAAACGGTCAGGCTCGAAATCTGGATTTATCACTGACAAGAGCCTAGAATATAGCAGTTTGAAGACAGGCTGCGGGATAGCACCAGTTGGCCAGCGCGATCAAGGTACAGTTACAGTATGATATTCTGCAAGAAACGGGGTAATTACATATGCAAAGAATTGGCGCAAAGATCTGCATCCTGTGCATAAAGAGGCGACACAGACTGTGCAATCTTCGCCAGTCGTTTTCGAGTATGTGGTCAAGCTGACCATCCCCCCCCCCTGACCATCCCCCCCCCCCCAATGCCCATGTAACCTGACCGGCGCCACGCTTTTCGTAGCAGTCAAGCCGACCATAAATTTTCCATTTTCCTATCCGTTTGGTCTTATCACGCATATGTCAGCAGCCGAAGAACCAATTAGGACCGCAGCCTCAACAGCCTCACATCCCGCCATCAGGCCAAAATGACATGGTTTTGTAATGCCCAACACGTAAAATCATCGTGCAGTGCCCTTATCAGCAGTCGAGGAACCGCTGAGCCACTTAAAACCGCAGTCACCACACACTCAAATCCAACTATCAAGCCACACTACGACATAACACCATAGCAATGCCTCAGTCAAATGTCCTCTTCTACTGTAATTCGTCGAATTGGCCTCATCTCATTAATGCCTTGTTCACCCCTTAACATGGATAGCAATGCGTTTCTCCTCCTGTGTGGCACAGTACAGTACATATCAGAAACGCGGTGGTTCTTTCACCTTCCCGCAGCAGAGAGGCAGTCACAGAATTACCCAATTGAGCAATTTATAGAGAGGTTCAGTTGTTTGAATGGTGATTAAAGAGCATCATAAAGATGATGATGGAGGAGAAGAACTTCCCCGCCGGGGCTTGCAACTGTCTCTCCTTCTTGGGCTTCTGATCTCGTGGCCTGACCATCTTGGCTCGGCTTGCAGGGAGGCCTCAGACCTGTACATTCTGACAGTATGCGTACGTATACTTCGTGTGCATACTCCGTACGTATTATCATATAAACCCCCGCAATCCCCTCCTCGTCGCTGACAAAATCCCCCTCAATGCTTCCACCTGCCGTTCCCCGTCGTTTAAACTTTAACGCTTGTTCCTTTAGCCACAGCCATGGAGCCACTGTTTGCCCTTGTCGTCGCATCCGAAGTTTTTGATTTTACCGACTTTGGAGGTGAACTGATTAGCAGGTCCTTCGTCGTGCGGGAGTCCGACCAGCCTCCGAAAGTGGAGGTGGTCAGGCTCACGGATACTATCAACACATTGCGGGCCGTCGCTTCGGAAGTCCTGAGCAAAATTGACAGCCTTAGATTGAGCTACCGTACTCATTCCGATTCAATCGATCACCTCTACACCGAATGTGTCAGTTTTGAAAAAAACCTTCGCGAACAGCTCGTGAGGCTGGCAGTAGTGGCGAAGGAGAAACTTGACCAAGGCCGGATATCCCTTCAAACCCTCTGGCCTGCCGAGCATCTATCAGAATGGAGGCGGAGAGCCGAAAGAATTCGCGAACGGGTTGTAATGAATGCTTTAATGTGTACTTTGTGAGTTTGAGCCCACCGACTTGAGCCAGATCATCTTGCTAATTACAGGGTAGATATGATGCTAAGGAGGCGCGTGAGCGAATGCAAAGCACCGATGAAGGGGCCGATCACGTCACAGACATCGTATCTCGCGTCCAAGTCACAATGAATGCTTTAAAGGGTGATTTCAAGAGCATCTCAGAGCGCAAGCCGCTGGGAGACGAGGGGTGGGAGAGAATCGATGATGCACTTTGGGCTGTGACCGGGCTTGTCGACATTTCTTGCGACATACCTTCTCAGTATCCAGACCCGCCGTCTTCCTCGACCTCATCATCCAGACCAAGACAACACCAACTTCGCGAAAAAATCCTACGCAGTCTTGCATTCGGGGGCATGGCCGAACGCAGCAAGAAAATTCCAACCGCGTATCCAGATACTTTTGGTTGGTTATTTCACGCCGAAGGTGGATGTGAACCGGGGAATGGCCAGTCTATGAACTTCATGCAGTGGCTGGGGTCACAAACCGAGGATATTTTCTGGATCACTGGCAAACCAGCATCAGGGAAGAGCACTTTGATGAAGTACATCTCTACCCACAAAGACCTACGGCCCTATCTTGAAGAATGGGCTGGTAGTTCCGCACTTCTCACTGCCAAGTTTTACTTCTGGGGTCCCGGATCGAAGATCCAGAAGTCTCGCATCGGCCTTCTGAGGTCCTTGCTTTATCAACTCCTCGAACAGCGACCGGATCTTTGCGAGTTGGTCGCTCCAAGAAGGCGGATCTTTTTCGACCTCGCCGGGGACAAGGCTGAGTCTCCGGATTGGAACTGGGTCGAGCTGCAGAAATGTTTACTGAGGTTCGGGTCCCATACTCGCAACCGCGCGCGACTGGCTCTTTTTGTTGATGGACTCGACGAATACGACAAATACGACGGAACCACCCAAGATCTAATCGCCCTTCTCAAACAGATGCATCAAGACTACAACCTAAAGCTTTGCGTCTCAAGCCGGCCTTGGAATGAGTTCGAGGATGCGTTTGGCTCGAGCCCCTCACTGAAGATGGAAAATCTTACGGCCAACGACATTGAGACATATATCAATAGCCGTTTCAATGAAAGCAGGGCTCTGCGAAACCTGAGCAAAATTGTATCAGGTGATGTCCAATATCTGAAGACGGAAATGCGGCAAAGAGCTAATGGAGTGTTTCTCTGGGTCGTCCTTGTTATGGAGCGGCTTATCAAGACAGCCCAGGGAACGCCCCTTTTCGGAGAAATTTGGGAAGTCTTCAATCAACTTCCCAGGGACCTAAACGAGCTCTACGAACGTATAATGAGCACAGTTGACGCTGCTAAAAAGAAGACTGCATCCAGGTTGTACCAGCTAGTCATGGAATGGAAGCGGAATTGGAGCGGCCAAATTGATGCTATTCTTCTATGGCTTGCCGTGGGATGCCAGGACCCCACGAAGCAACTTCTGTATCCGGCAATGCAAGGCCATGCCTTCATCCCTGGAATGGTCAAAAGACTTTTGGAGGAACATACCAAGGGAATCTTGCAGGTCTCTGGGAGCCCAACCCAGACCGTCGATTTCCTTCACCGAACAGCCTTTGACTGGCTGAAGGAGAAAGACAACTGGGAGAAGATATGTTCACAACAACCCTCTGGATTTCAAAGCTGTCTTACTTTGATCGCCACTTTGGTCGGCCATCTGCGATCTTTGGAAGAAGTCAGCAATGATACTACGACACGGAGAGAGCACCGAAGACAGTGCGTTTTCCGAATTCTCAAGTTCTCCAGAGGTGTCACCAACACGGCAGAGAACAGACGACAGCTAGCAGCCATTCTTGACCAGTTGGAGTTGGAAGGGCTTCTACCACCACTAGACGTGGACACAATCTTTCACAAAACTCAATTCTCAAGGAAGAGTAGATTGGTTCAAAATGGCTTCTTAGCCTTGGCAGCATCCTGGAGCTGCCTTCCGTTCCTTCAGGGGAAGTGTGACGGGAGCCCTGAAGTGCTGCATAGTAAAGATCAAGAAGCGTTCAAATATGTATTATCAGGCGGGCCGAGGCCCGTATCTCTTCTCGAGGCCGCAGTCTTTGGGGCTGTTCCCCGGGTGATTAGTCGCCGTTATACCAGCTGGCTTGATGAAGTGAGGGGCTTTAGTAAGTGGCAAGTGTCTATGCGAGTTGACACTGTCAAGTTCCTGGTTGAGAAGTGTTATCTCGAGAAGAACAAGAAGCCACCAAAGGACGTTAAAGAACACGTCAAACAGTTCAAAGAGAACACCAAGCTGGGCGAAGGGGATTTTGAGAATCATTACTGGACGCTTGTGGCTATGATGTTCGGTGGGCTCTCGACCTCGGCCTCTTTCAACCAGGAGAAGCGCCGACTTTTGCCGGACATTGAGGAAAGCCGTTTCGTGGAGGAGTTCCCGCAGTTTGAAATCACACCTACACAGTCTCGCCAGCCAGACGCTACTCTGCGGCCATGGCCATCGAACTCTTACTGGCGATGAGGGACCTCGCTCAGTCGGTGATTGCGGTCGGCCGACTGAATCAGTTAGTGTCTTGATAGCCGTTACACTACTAGCACTAGCGTGAACTGGCCGTACTTCATATCTCGCGCATATGCTAAGGAGCTTGACGCTATCGTCTACGCGACATGCAGATGATGCTCAGGGGCATCGAGCCCGTCTTCGAAAGCCTGTTCGATGACCGCCAAACCGAACTGGTGGCGCCGCTGATGCAAGATCTGCCATTGATCCAGGGCGGGCAGGCAGACGCCGCAGTCGAGGCCATATCGGGCCTGCGGCCACTCTGCGTGGATCTGATCGCCGTGGAATACTACCAACAGCTGCTCGGCATCGCCCATGAAGCTGCGTAAGAGCTCGTTTGACGGTGAGTCCCGCCTCGCCCCCTCGTCCCGACGTAGGGGCTGACGACGGTGGAGCCTATAAGGCCAACGCGAGGGAATACGCCTGGTGGATGATGCTGCCCCACGCCTCGTTCCAGGAGCTCATCAACCTCAGCCGCCAGACCATGGTGTTGCTGCACTCTCACTGGATCGCGCTCTCGCAGGTCATGGCGTTCATCATGGATAGGGAGCTGGACGTGCGGGAGAAGCAGCCAGCACAGCAGGACAGTAGCATGGACCCGAGCTTCATCCGCTGGCTCGAGTGCCTCAGCGCGCGGGTCGACGGCAGACACGCCGTGTACAACCAGTGGCCGGTCTGTGGACGAGCAGTTGGACCGGGACATGACGTTTTTCGGCAAGCGCGGGTAGCCAGACGGAGGAATGCTCGGAGACTGGGGCGCTGCTCTCGAGTTGTCGCAGGCCGAGGGCTCCTGGCAGTAGCAGATGTTTGGAGTTTCGTGGGTGCTTGGCTCGGGCTAGTAGATGGGCTGTGACGACGTCCGGGCCCAGGCAGCCGGATATCTCAGTTAGCCTCGTCGCGGGCGCAGCCACACTGTCATAGCCAGGTTCTGTCTGTACATTGTAGAGAGACCTTCGAGGGGGTGTCAAGGGAGAGCGCACGGAAGCTCCGGGGCACGTTTGAGAGTCTGAAAGACCACTAGACGCTCCCGGCGCCAGCGGGCTGCTGCTGAGCGGACGCCGTTGTTACTGGAGGGACGGAGTGTCGCTCTGAAGGCCAACCCCGTAGATCAACCTTGTATACTGTAAGAGAGGAGCGACAACTTTGCGCAGCCTGTCCCGCGTCTTGCCTTGAGCATGGGCACCGAACCCTCGTAGGGCAACAATTGTCCAGGCGATCAGTACTATGAGAGAATTGGCAATGAGATTTGCCAACAGGCGTGATTTAAGCTTTACGGCATGTTATACAACCTCCATCTTGGAAGCTTACGCGATTCGTTTGGAAAGCAGGTAATTATGGTCTGGCTGAGAGGCACGGAACCTGTAGATGCCTTGCCATAACTGACCACGACCCGTGAGCCTTGAGTGAGCAGGAAAGCCGAGCCATATATCAGCAATAGCCAGACGTTGGTTCTTTTCAAGCTAGGTCATAATAATAAGACAGCAGAATTTGGGCACTGTTGTCACAAAATAAACACCAGACAACAGAGAGTCCTTGGCAGGGGAGAGTTTCGCTATAGCAGATGGCTTATGTATGTCAGAAAGGGACCCCACTTTGCACGACTCGACGAGCATGCCGCCCCAACTTTGTGGCTTTGGGATGTCAGCTTGTTGGCTCGGGGCAGCGGCCGAACTGGGGTTCACTGGCTCGGAGCCCTCCACGCCTTGTTGCTACTAATGCAATTACGCAACTCGGTGAGCTGGCCAAGTGGCGGCTGCATCCTTCTCTAGGCTCGGGGCTGTGCTACATGTCCGCCTGTCATGGGGCCCCGCTGAAAGCAAGTGGCCCCCGAAAGAGAGCCCAGATGCTGCAAGAAACCGTTCTGGATGGGGAGGGATACCAGCGGTCATCGCCCATTGTATTAGCGGGGCCCGAATATATTTGTGTAACAAAAGTTCCTCAGCTGGCGGATAGCATATTTTTTCCTGGCACGTCCCACATATCATAAAGGGGGGGGCCGCTGTAGTTACTTACTGCATATACTTCAAGCAAGCACACAAAATCTGGTCGGTGTTCAGCTTCAAACCTTCATCCTCTCTGGCCTCCCACCGCTCTAGTCCACTTGGTTCCTTGAATCCTCTCGATTTAATCAACACTACTTTGCACATGTCCGTTGACGAGTCACAAATAGAACACTATGACTATATCGTCATTGGTGGCGGTACCGCTGGCCTCGTGGTTGCATCCCGCTTGAGCGAAGACGCAAGCACGAGTGTCCTCGTAATCGAAGCTGGCGGCGATAGGAGCCATGATCCCCTTGTATTGACTCCAGGCATGATGACAGCCATGTACGGGAAAGACCAATATGACTGGAACTTCATCTCTCCGCCACAAGTAAGCTTAGCTTCCAGGCTATTCCTCGTATGCCTTCTCGCAAGGATCATATATGTACTCAAAATAAGTCGCTAGCCCAAACTCAACAACCGAACCATACCCCAAGCGAGGGGTCGTATGCTTGGGGGAAGTTCTTTGCTGAACTTCCTTATGGTTGTCTACCCCAGCAAGGCCAGCATCGACGCCTGGGGCGCTCTGGGGAACGGGGGCTGGAACTACGACGCGCTGGCCCCCTACTATCGCAAATTCGCGAAAACCCACCCGCCATCCCAGAATGCCCGGGAGTTCTGCCGTCTGGACGGACTTTGTATTCAGGGGATCTCTGCGGCGGAGACTGGGCCCCTTGCGGTGACCTTTGGCGAAGGGTTTGGACCCAACAACGCGGCATGGTTCGACGCGTTCGAAGAACTCGGTCTGAATATGGCCACTGATCCGCGGACTGGAATGGCAGGCGTAGGCGCCTTCCAGCAGCCGGCGACCATCGATCCCATTGCGAAGACGAGGACATCGGCAGTCTCGGCCTATTTGACGCCGAAGGTAAGGAGCCGAGGCAATCTAACAATCCTAACAAATACACTGGTCAAGAGGATCATTCTCGAACCTGTGGTCAGTGGCGATAATGTCGAGTTCGTCGCGAAAGGCGTGGAAATCAGGTCCGAAGATGGCAGTAACCGTCGGGTTGGCGCTCGAAATGAGGTTATCCTCGCTGCCGGGGCGCTCCACACCCCCCAAATCCTCGAACTCTCTGGGATCGGGAGCCGCGAGCTTCTTGAGAAGCATGGAGTGCCCGTGTTGATTGTGAGATTCCTCCCTGCTAGTGGCTTCCCTACCCGCGTGTGTGGTATTCTCACTCACTGTGCTAATATGTGCGAAAGGACAACCCAAATGTCGGCGAACATATGCAGGACCACCCTGTTGTGGCTGAGAACTTCGAGGTTGCAGATAGTGTAACGTCAGGGGACATGCTTCGAGATCCTGCTCTTATTCAGGCCGTTGTTGCTCAGTACCAAGCAAATCAGGAAGGACCCCTGAGCCAGAGCATTATCAGTTCTGCCTATGTTCCAAGTAAGAGCTCCTTCATACTGCCCCGGTACCAGAAACGTAAACGGGCTAACAAAATCGAGCAGTGGCTGACTCCTCTGGAGTCCTAAGCACTGATGCTCGCCGACAGCTGTTGGACAGACACCTCGGAGCCGCTACAAAGTGTTCAGAAGCAGAGCGAGGTGTGATCCGGGCAATTCTAGAAACTGACAATGAGGCAGCCTATCAGTGTCTGCTATTTCCAATGCAGAGCAATATCATGGACAATCCGACACACGTGGGCGAATATCTGGTGCCGGTCCTTCCTGAGAACTACCTCACCATAATGACAATTCTCAACTACCCCTTCTCGCGCGGCTCATGCCACATTGTCTCCCCGCACGTGGAAGACAAGCCAGTGTGGGACCCTCGATATAACGACGAGGACATCGATATGGAGCTCCTCGTGAGGGGCGTCCAATTTGTCAGCAAGCTCGTGGCGACGCAGCCGCTGAGGAAGATCATCAAGGAGGGCGGCAAACGCTCGTCCGAGGGGGAGAGCCTCGATGCGGCCAAGGACGTCGTTCGGAAGCGCCAAGTCTCGGTCTTCCATGTTAGCAGCAGCGCAGCGATGCTGCCAAGGGAAGCAGGAGGTGTCGTCGACTCGCGTCTTCGTGTCTATGGCGTAAAAAACTTGCGCGTTATAGATGCGAGTATTTTCCCCCTCGAGCCGCTTGGCAATATCCAGTCTACAGTGTATGCTGTAGCTGAGAGGGCAGCTGACATTATAAAGAAGGACAGAGAAAACGCTGAATAGGTTAGGCGTCTAGGAGGTCCTTATACTCTTTGGTAGCTGGGGATATCTATTTATAGTAATAGTCCTTGCTAAGCTTTCTATTTATTTACCTATATATAATACTTTTTAAAAGCTACTAGTTATAAAATTCTTTATAAAGCTTTTAACACACCTACCTTTCTTTTGAAGGCGAAAAAGAGAAAAACTATTTATAGTGGTTCAGCAAGTTTAATTACAACAGACTACCGGGGTATAACGAGCATTCTAAAGCTAAAGAAAGAAGGAGGGAAGACAGAATCAAGCGGGCTACGTGATGGGTGAGAAGGTATAGCTGCGGTTCGCAAATAGATTTTAATGAGAAATAATAATGCAAGCTAGTAGGAACAACACAAGGGCACATTGGCGCTTATAAGCTCCTCTAAGAGCACAGAGCGATGCGAAGGTACACCGGCTTCTCTTACTGTAGCTTGCTTGTGCCTCACATAGATGCTATAATCTTAAGTGTGAGGTAGAGGCTGGAAAGCTTATATCGCAAAAAGAGGATTGGTCCGAGTAAGGCACACAAAGGAGGTCCCTGGCAAGAAGGTTAATGGATCTTTAAGGAGGAAAGGAAAAAGAAATGCGAGCGTAGCCCCTATAGGTGCGGCAGCCGCTTATATACACACGTGCGGGAACAGCAGACATTCCGCACCAACACACAGGGTGTCAACCCCATAACACTACTCAAACAGTACGCCTAACTTTTGCTAGAAGGTGTATAGGTTTAAGAACTATAGTTAGGCCGTTTTAGTCCCTCGTTAATCAAGTACTCGCTAATTCACTCGCCAACCTGCACGCTCTATGATGGCAGGGCCGTATATAAACATTCGATTCTTTCTGTGTCTCTCATTTTACACTCATCTTAAATCTTCGCAGTTCACGGAAAGTTGGCTAATGGGCGGCCTCAAATCAATACCTCCTTCGAGAATCCTGGTGAATGGTATCGGCAGCCTTCTCGCTAATCATGTAAACGGGCAAAACGAGGAAGTATCCGGGAATATTGGGGAAAATGCTCGCATCGACGACGCGTAAGCCGTCGACACCTCGCACGCGAAATCTCGAGTCCAGGACGGCCATGGGGTCGTTATCGGCGCCGATGGGGCACGTGCAGGAAGCGTGGTGGCCCCAGGCCTGGTCCTTAACCCACTGTTTCTCGGCTTCTTTCGAGCCGAATTCGCGGCCTGGCCAGTTCTCCTGGAATTCGGCGGTGTCGTTGATGTTGGAGGCCTTTCGAGCAAAGTTGAGCCCTTCAACTAGCGCCTGAGCGTCCTTGTCGGCCTCGTGGGCATAGTTTGTTCCCGACTCAAAGTAGTTAAAGTTGATGATGGGGACATCGCGCGGGTCGGCAGATCTAAGCTGGATGGTGCCCCCGCGGTTCCTCGTGTGCGCTTTGAGGACGACCCAGGTCCAGTACCTTGGATCCGCCCCTGCTTCTCTCGAGTAGCCGGGAAAGTAACCTTTGAACTTGGCGGCGGTGCCGGCGATGAAGACATCGGGAATCTCCGGGGCGACGGATGACTTCTTGAGGATGGCGAGCGCGAGGCCACTGGTCGTGTACGCTCCTCGCTCGGCGATGGAGCCCCTGCTATTCCAGGCCTTGAGGCACGGGTCTGTGCCCTGCAGACCGGTGCACTTCTCGAGAAAGAAGAATTTTATGGGGCTCTTGGTGACGACCGATCCTGTAGGTTGGTGCCCACGCCGGGCAAGTCGACGACAACGGGGATTCCCCATCGCCGTAATTCCTTACCAGGGCCGATACCGCTAAGCTTAAGTAACTGGGGTGGGGGGTGTTAAAGGCGCCGCCGGAGATGATGACCTCGCGCCGGGCTTTGACACGATAGGTCCGGGGCAGCGGGGACCCGTACTTGGCGCGCGGGTCCGCGCGGTAGATGCTTCGTCCCCGGACATACTCGACCCCAGTCGCCCGTGGTTTGCCCCCGTAGCCGGGCTTGAAGTTAATACGGGTAACAAGGTGCTGAGTAGGATATCTAGGCGGTTATCTCCGTTGTTGAGGACCTCCCTAAGAAAGTCGACGGGCCCCGAGCGCTCGCCGTCGTTAATAGCTAGGGGCATCTAGAACATCCCCTCGTTATAATCGCGGTCCGCGGAGTCTGAGTTTAAGTCCTTGGAAAACATTCGGGTAAGGCCCTTGGCGTCTAGTGTGATCCTGCTTATTTTATCGCCGATAGCCGATGCTGCGGAAAGGACCATATATGCAAGCTTAGAGTCCTTAGGGGTAAAGGATTCACTTGTGGCGCTCGTCGTTAGCCAGCCCTTGGCGCCGTGCCCGCTGCCTAAGCGCGGGTTATATTGGCACCGCTCGAGCCTCTCGAAAATCTTCCTTATCTTCTTCTGCTCCTAGCTCCAGTCTCCCGTAAGCCTAGCAATATATTCCCAATCCTCGTCGTTTGGATAAGCCGTGATAATAGCATTGTGAGCGGTGCAACCACCTAAAGTTCCGGCACGCGGGTAGAAAATGCCCTTTGGTTTCGCCCCCCTGGGAGGGTTGCTGCCGATATACTCCTTGCCGGACCGGAGCGTCCAGGTCATTTTGGGATCTCTCCTTTGCCGTTCCAAGTCTGGGTAATGATTAACGAAGAAGTTCCACGACATGCTGGGAGCCTCAGATGCCGCTAAGCTCATTGCGGGAATCCGGTACAATAAACTATCAGTTTCGTCGGTTCCAGCGTCGATAAGCAAGACGCTGTGCCCATACGTAGCCAGTCGCGCCGCGAGAGGCGAGCCTCCGGCGCCGGAACCGACAATAATATAGTCATATTCGGCAGCTGGATCCACCTCCCGGATAAAGCCACTACCCTCCTTCCCGTCAGCCAACGACCTCGATAGTTGAAGAGGGTGTTATTCAAGGGATTTCCCGAAGACTCTTTAGCGGACTCAAAGAGATACGGGGGAGAGAGGAAGAGGTGAGAGTGACAAAAGGATCATAAGTCTAAACTTACGATCTTGCTGGAGCGCCCAGCGAAAGGGCTCCAAGTACAACAGCCGATAGCAACATTTGTAACGGGCAAGCCGCTTTAACGGCGGCTGCGCCGCCTAGCTTCTAGAACCTTCCATTGGCTCGAAGCTATAAAATGCTATTGTGCTCTCATGTAGTAGATTCTCTTTCTTTCTTTCTTTCTTCTCTATCTTGATAGTAAACAGCATAGGGACTAGTTAGTTGTATCAACTCACTAGAGGCCTTTCACACATTGCAGTACAAAGGCGCGTACTATCTACTGCTGTGACAGCACAACAGGAGAATGGACAGTTGCAAGGTCGAAGAAGGAGCCAGGGGAGGTGACGAGGGCGTTGAAGAAAGACTCCACGGATATGGAAAGGTGCCATCTACTGGCTTATGTATCCTGGCCGATGACCAGGTCAGCGGCCGCGGAAATGAAGGCTTCATAGGATATCAGACGAGGGCTAATCAGGTGAGCCGATGGCATTCCAGGGAAGCAGCTGTTAGAACATGAAAGGGTCGGCTGGCCCGCAAGGGTTGGCTGGTTTAAGGAGGATAAACCCCTATAATGCGGCTGTGGCTTGTTCCCAGAGACACACAAATGGGGGCAACCCAGAATTAAGTATGCGGTGGAATCCCCGGAAATACAGGCAGGGAATGAGGGCGAAACGGGGCGAATCGCAAGTGGCGGCATCTGAGTTATATCACCGCCACGAAGGACGTTGTGGAATAAAGAAGCCTTAAAGCCTCAAAAATAAAGACGGGATTGTCTGATTCTTATATTATCCTACTTCATATGTATTTTCGACAATGCGAACATAGCCTGACCCCTCGTTTGGTATTACTTCGTAAAGACTAAGTTCTCTGGACACGGATAACCTTGACGCAAGGCCAGGTCCTACCCTAGCAGTGAGTCGCACAATCGACCTTCTAGACTCAGGCTGCGTCTGTGTCTCTCTTTGAAATCCACCCTATGCCGACGAGGATAGACATTCCACCACATTTCTTCCACATTCGCCCCACGAGCCGGGGTTTCACCGCCGCCCACATGCTAATACTAGAGTGCTACTAATAAGCATGGATAGTGAGAGGTGGTAGGCCATAAAGCTAGATTGGTTGAGATGAGGGAGGCTATGAACATATAGATGGACAGATCGGGTTGATAAAGCTCCACAAAGTCCAGCAACTAGCCAAGGATGTGCCTTGTTCCGAGCATCTCGCGATCAACGTTGAACCGGGATGGAAGAAGTTGGAAAATACTACATCAAACTGATAGAGTGCGCGGTATACTACGCTGCAGTCGCTCTTCATCCTACTTCGTGGTCTTAAATGGACTCCTTACAAAATAGGCCTGAGATAGATATCTAGAACCGCCTGTAACTTTCTGCGTGTCTCATGTGTTGACTGCCCGCTTCAGCGTCTCTAGCCACTTCCGCTGCTGTTGTACATATGTATCCTAGGAGGAGGGAGACACTTTTTTGTATGACTAGTCGCCCTTGCAGCTGGAGCCAAGCCTCCAGTGCAATATGGGAGAAAAAAGCAGAGGTATCATTCATCACAGGGCCGCATCGATCTCTGCTGATATCGAATCTACGCTGGATTCATGTCCTTAGGCGTCGTAGCTTGCAAAGTTAGTCATAACTGCGGACAGGAGTGTTGAATGAAAGACTTTCAGCGATACATGCAAGTTGGGATCAAACTCTTATCGCCACTATTTGTTGGATTCTTCTAGGAATTGTATGTAAAGAGAGCCACGTTCCTAATGTCGCTCTCTCAACCGCTTGGTTGGAGAGAGACCCAGGTATAGGTCAATACTAGAGCAGCAACAATATTGGATCAAATAACTACGTAATGCTCTTTGATCTCAACTGGCTATTCCGTTCTTTAATCTTTTGGTCAAGTGTCATTTATCTCAAGATAGCGAGTCAGAACAGAACGCCCTCGAAGTTTTTTTTCATGCATATAGCTTTGAGACATATAGTCGAGGAACGGGTCCCGACTCGGAAGGCTTCATCCGAGATGAGGTTTACCGTCTCTTCCGTTTGTCGCCGTCATACTTGTAGCTTGATGTCGAGGGGGCACGCTGTTTTCAGGACTCCACAGTAGCAAGGCTGTTCAAGTCGTTGGACCATGGTGCTTACGCCTGCACTCTCTGCTCCAAGTCGGCAGTCTCCGGGCTGGAGACGATGCAGTGGGCGTTGACGCCGCCGTAGCCGAGCGCGGTGACGCCGACCCGGTCTCCTATCTCAAGCTTGAGATGGCTGCGCAGTGGTCGGACGCGTGTCTTTGAAAGGTCGATGAGAGGGTTGACGTCGCCGATCTGGGGCATTGGCGGCACGACGCCCCGGTGGACGGCCAGAGACGCTTTGATAAGCGACGTCAGACCCGACGCCGCCTCCGAGTTGCCGAAGCTGCCCTTGTTGGAGCCGACGAGCAGCTCGCGGGCGGCGGGCGATGGCACGGCCTTGGCGCGAGACGCCGACCGGCTCATGGCGGCCGACCCGGTGCCGCTGCTGAGACGTGTGCTCGACGTCGTGCTGGGCAGCTCGCCGCCGGCCCAGGCCGCCTCGGCCGCTGAAAAGGCACGCTCCAGGCCCTGTGCCTCGAGGGCGTCGCCGATACTGGTGCCGCTGCCGTGCATCTCGACGTACCGGATGGACTGCGGGTCGACGCCCGAGCTGACAATGGCATCACGCACTACCTTGGCCTGGCCCGTCGAGCTTGGCACGGTGAAGCCAATCTTGTCGACGGCGCCGTCCGTCCCGATGGCGTGGCCCTCGATGACGGCGTAGATGCGGTCCCCGGCTGCCCTTGCCGCACTCAGGGGCTTCAGCACCACCGCCGAGACGCCGTCGGCCGGCACCGACCCGTCCGAGCGCGCATCCAGAGGCCGGCACTCGCCGCTGACGGAAAAGATCTTGCCGTCGGACGTGGCGTAGCCGCCGAGCTGCGGGAACGAGACGGACACTCCTCCGACCAGCGCCGTCTCGCAGTCGCCGGCGCGCAGCGAGTTGATGGCCTGATGGATGGCGACGAGCGACGAGGCGCAGGCCGTGTTGATATCAACGCTGGGCCCCGTCAGATTCAGCTTGTAAGCAGTAAAGGTGGATGCGTTGGGGTCCAGGACAACCCGGTAGCGTCTCTCAAACGAATCCGTAACCGCTGCCTCCGAGCCTGAGTGAAGGAACGTGTTGTGTGCGATGCCGATAAAGGTTCCGATGTTGGTGCCCTGAGTCCTCGAAGTCGATATCGACGCGTCCTTGAGTGCCTCTTGGGCGACTACGAGGAACATGCGTTTCTTTTGCCTCGGTTAGAAAAGTCCTTATCCAATTTTGCTGCGGACAAGAGGGCTTTAGGCTCACGGGTGCTTACCTGCGGATCCAAGTTGTTGGCCTCTTCGTCCGACATGGCCCAGTCGCTTCCGCGGAAGGCCTCGAGTCCGTTGATACTTCCGTATCGCGGGACAAAGACTTCACCCGGCTCGAGCTCGTCGCCCGTCGCGCTGCTCGTGGTGATGCCGTCGCGCTGCTCCATCAGCAAGTCCCACATGTCGTCGACCGAGTCCGCGCCCGGGAAGCGCCCGGCCATGCCGACAATGGCAAACAGGCTCTCCTGCTGTTGCAGCAGCAATGACGCGTTTGTGATGGAGCTGCGCGAGGAATGCGTTCTCGTCATCGACAGGCTCTCGTCGGAGACGGTGCAGGGTGGCGGGCTGTTTACGGCGACGAGGTCCGCCAGATGAGCTGCCTGCCGGCGGATGGTCGGGTTATAGAAGACATCGAGAAGGGAGATGCCCGAGCCGGGGTATTGGAGTGCCAGCTTCTTGTGCAGGGCAGTCAGGAGGATGCTGTGGCCGCCGGCGTCGTAAAACGTCGTGTCTAAGGACGGCAGGTCTCGACATCCAAGCACCTGCCTCCATAGAGACGCAATAGATGCTTCGAGACTAGCAACATGGCCGGCATCGATGCCCGGGCTCTCCGGCAGCCCGTCCACGAAGATGTCGGGCTCGGTCTGCAGTGTGGCTTCTGGCACCGACTCGTTGTCTTCGTTGCAGAACTGTTCGAGGACCTGCGCATGGTCCACCTTGCCGTTGGCATTGAGCGGCAGGTTATTGAGGGCCGTGAAAAGAGTCGGCACAGAGTAGGACGGGAGGTCCTTGGAGATTCTCTCGCGGATCAACCTGCCCTGGATCGTATTGGGGGCGACAAAGGCAACAAGACTCTCTTTGACGACTTGGACAGACGCCATCATGACTTCGGGGCAGTAGTCAAGGATGCTCTTCTCGATGGCCGCGAGATCCATACGGTAGCCACGAAGCTTGATCTCGCGATTCATGCGGCCGAAAATGTTAAGCTTACCCTCGGCGTCGATGTACCCCTTGTCGCCTGACCGATACATCCTGGCGCTTCTGCCTTCAAACTCTATGGTCCGAAACTTGTCCGCAGTCAGTTCCGGTTGTCCCTTGTAGCCTCGAGTAACCTGGGGCCCGACGATGCAGATCTCGCCCATCTGACCCTGCTCGAGGGTCTGGTCCGAGCCTTCGGAGCAGATGATGGTGGCCATGTTGGGGTTCGCCCGACCGATGTTGGAAGGAGACGGCAACTTCTCGCCGCTAGGGACCACTGTCTCGGTGGCACAGATGACGGTTGTTTCCGTGGGACCGTAGGCGTGGATGAGCGTCAGTCTCTTGCTCCACTTGTCCAAGAGTCCAGCTGAGGATGCCTCTCCGCCGACAGACAGCATCCGCAAAGACGGCAGCCGGCGGCCATCCGGGATTGTCGACAGCACCGAGGGCGTTAAGTGGATAAAGTTGATTTTATTGAGGTCAACCATGTCTGCGAGATAGTCTCCGACGAGAAGGGAAGGATGGTTGACAAAGCACATGGTGCCGCCATACGACAGCGTGACGGCACACTCCAGGATTGACGCATCAAACGCAAAGGTGGCGAGCTGGAGAACGCGCGAGCCTGGTCCGATCTTGACGGTTTCCCTGGCCGAACTCACGTAGCTGCTCAGGTTCTGGTGCTCGACCATGATGGCTTTGGGCATGCCGGTGGAGCCCGAGGTGAAGATGATGTAGGCTAGGTCTGTCGGGTCTTGGCCGGCCACGGGTTGCGGCCGTCCGGCCGGCAGGTCCGCCTTAGCCCAGATGTTGAGGACCTCCGGGATCCAGGCGCAGTTGGCGAAGAGGGCGTTGTCGATTATGTCTGTCACGAAGAGCTTAGCCTCGGCCACGCCAAGGATGGCTTGCTTCCTGGCCAGGGGAAGACTCTTCTCGAGGACGACGTAGCAGGCGCCGGCCTTGAGAATGGCGAGAATCCAGACCACTACGTCGAACGATCGATCGATGTGGAGCACGACGACATCCTCTCGGCTGACACCGTGTTGCTGGAGATCTGGTACAGCATTTCGGGTTAGCGTTTGGCAACATGGCGGATAAAGCCATGGAGGACGACTGCATCGATTCTGATGATATCTGACACGCTCACAAAAGCCGGGGTCAGCTCAGGGCTAAGACTTACGCAGCGCCTTGCTGTCCGACTTCTCGTCAAGCTCTCCATAGGTCATTGATGTCTTCTCTTCACCAGAGTAGAGGGCGATAGCGTCCGGCTGTGCGGCTGCTCGCTGACGAATCCAGTCGGTAACACGGCTCGAAGAGACAGCATCCGCGTCGGTTATTTTGGGACCCCCGACGAGTGCGGCCGTCTCGTGCCCTTGGAGATAGAAGAGCGAGCTTAGCTTGAAGCCTGCAGAGGCCTGAGAGAGGCGGACGGTGCTCATAAAGTCCGTCTTGAGCGCCTCGACGGCAGCATGGTCAAAGGCAGCCGGGTCGGTGATGACGCCGAGCGAGACACCGTCACCAGCTTCCAGGAAGCAGAAGAACAGATCCCACACTCCCTGCACGGGATACAGAGTGCAGCGAGCGTCGGCCAGCTTGGGGCTGTATGTGACGACGACCTTCTCCGACATGACCTCGTCGCCTCTAGCCTCCTGGCGCGCCGCCTCGAGCAGGGACATGAAGGGGAACATCTCATGCTTCTTAGCCTGCGAAATGCGCTTGCCGACATTCTTGACCAGCTCGGCAAAGGTGCCGTCGCGCTGCAGCAGTTCCCACACGGGCTGCCGGATGGGCATCGTGTTTGCCATGTGCGAGATGCACTCAGCGAATCGGGGCTCCCGTGCTCCCAAGGCGACCTGCAGTGTGTGATCGTGATGTGGCGTCGGCTTTGAGTGTCCGGCCACGACGAGACCAACGATTGAAGTGGCGATGCGGAACCACGACGTGCCGTAGAGCTTAGACCACTCTGCGAGCTCGTCAAAGGTGAAGAAGCCCCAGGTGTTCATCTGCCTGTAGTCTCGACCGGCCGGTGGCGGCGCAGAAGGAGTGGCGTGCTTCCATTCGCACGGCGTCGTGTTGGCCGTCTGTGACAGCCAGAAGCTCCGGGCCACCTTGGCCGCCGAGCTCCGGAGATAGGCGTTTTGCCTCTGGACGAATTCGCCATACGATGGCGCAGAGCTCGATGACGGGGCAACCACACCGTCTTGGGAGACGAGCTCGAGAAAGCGGCGTGAGAGGTAGCTGATGCTGCTACCGTCGACGGCGATGTGGTGGCCCATGGCATATACGGTGTAGGACGACTTCAAGAAGCCCTCGTTGGAGGCGAAGTGCTGATGTATGACCCATCGAACCGGGAACTCTTTCGAAAGGTCAAACGGCCGCCGCAGCGCTTGTGCCAACTTCGCGTCGTCGCCCATGATTTCGGCGTTTTGAATGCAGTCGGTCGAATCATGGACGGCCATGTAGGACTGGGACATATCTTGGGCGGTGCCGTCCATGTGAAAGGTTGTGCGTAGCATGTCATTTTCGATGCCGAGTTGATGAATGTCTGTGAAGGACCAAGCCTTGTCAACAGCCAAGGTTTAATACAGTTGCTCGGTAGACCCGACTTACAGTTGAGAATGGTTTCTAGAGAGAGCTTCGACTCTGTCAAGTCAATCCGGAGAGTCAGGGCATAGTGAGTGGCCCACGGGCGACGGATGTAGTCGAGCCAAAGGACTTCTTGCACTTTGGAAAGAGGGACGATGGCGACAAGATCTCCCTGAGGAGGTGACAGGCGCAACTGGGAGTCGGGAATGGTGACGGGCCCTGTGATGAAAGGCATCGGAGAGTGAGCCATGGCGTTGGGAGATTCAAAGATATGGAGGGAAATGGAGAGACTCGTCTGTGTAGTGAACTTGCGTTTCAAGAGAGGGGGGTATTTGAGGGGAAGGGCAGGGTGGTTTAGATGGCTGGATACAATCTTGGCGACTTCATCTATGTTGCTGGGAATGGCCAGTTTGATATATAAATGATTCTCAGGGTGTGACCTCCCAGCCATGCATACATTGTCGCCATCAGCAAACAGCATTGGAACACACCAGGCCACACAGCCCACTTGCAGAAACTTGAAGAAATTGGTTACCCACCAGTGGTCGGGCGTGCCAATTCTCAGCAGCCTGTTACGTTGTCGGCCAAGGCCAAGGCGAGAATGCGTGATATACGGAGTCGGCGAAGTCGAGGGCTTTCCTGATCACCGCACTTCTCCTTATAGGTGGAGCTTGGTCGCGGCCATTGCCCGTGAGGACGATGGCATGGAGTTTGGAAGTTCTCCCCTACGGCCCCCCTCTTGGTATTAGTTGAACTTTTGGAACCGGGTGAGCGGGATGGTGCCGGACGGTGGTGGATGTACGTGGGCTGGGTTACATATATGGGGCGAAGAGTTTTTGAGGTCGACTTGGCGATAGATGGATGCTTGGTCGAGGTAGTGCACACGCAATATGTTCGGGCTGGGAAAGAGCCGCATAAGACCCAACCTGGTCGAGTGACGAAGCACTTTGAGGCTTCCCGATGGACTCCGCGTTCGCTCCGGCAGAAAGGATTACGGCCAGGTCACATAGTCAGCCTCAGTTGTACCACCGCAGGCGGCAGCGGCAACATTGTTAGGAATAGACCCGGGCCTTTAGTATCACTACGTTCAACGTGATCAGGTTCCTGGCGGTCCCGTAGATCGCATGGAGTAAACGGGGAAGCGCGGCTCGATCCGCCAGCCGGGCCGCAGTCCTGGCCCCAGTCCCCGGGGACGTGGTCGTCCGGCCGCATGGAAGCAACAAGCGACATAGCCCACCACCTATATGTGGGCATCGCAGTGGGCCTCCGAGAGAATGAACCGAGCAAAGCCCACCAGATAGGTGCATTGCGTGCTCAACACGCACAGTCTGGCAGACCCTGGAGCTTGATACTTTGACGCCTTCATGTCCAGTTCACGACTATAGCGCCCTATTATCAACTTTACCCTTCTCCGAGAATTAATGAGAAGCAACGTTTCCTTAAAGAAAACGAGGGCAAAGACGGGTTGCACCGGCACACGGAGCGGGGACTTTCGGTCCCTGGAACCTCCGGAGAGAGGGTCTTGTCCCCGCTGGCCGTACTTCCATCAATTAGCGGCTTCATCACCCGCTACCGTAGCAATCTATCGACGAAAGCCGTGCTGTTGCCGCGCTCTGGTAGGCATAAAACCCGTCAATGAGTTACACGAATGTGAGTGCGTCTTTTCGATATATCGAGTATATCGCTCTCTTCTCCAGCCCAAGACAGCCAAGTAATGGCCTGTATCGTACAATCCCGCCCATCATCTTGGCAAACTCTCGCTTGCTGTCCCTGTTTGAAAGTCTACAGCCGTAGGCATAAACATGCCAGGCAATATGGATACGTAAATTTCTCCGAGGCGCCAACGGCCGCCGAGCAAGGCTAGGGCGGGCCAGAAGATAGGGCGGCAGACCTACCCTGCTTCTGGTACAAGTAACTACGCTCGTACGAGAGTTCCATGGCACGTGGAGACAGGACAGGGCACAATTACGTCTAACCTAGTCTTCTTATGCTCTCGTGTAAGTCGAAGGATCCATCATCCCGGGGCAGTCGTCGAATAGCCGCAAGATTCTCCACCGCAGTCCAGCATTGTTGGATCGATCCTCCAATCGCATTTCCGTCCTCGGCTTGCCCCCGGCCTGCGCGTTTCTAGTCTTTGCAGCGCTGACAGCCCGATAGACTCAGCTCCGCCGCACTTAGCGGCGTCAAATGCCGACTCGGACGTCCTTGGAGTCCCAATGCATGGGCAGAAGACGCGAGGGCTTCATACATACATTTGACCAAATCATATCTCAGGCGGGGCTTCTGATTTTGTCTCGGACGACTCCAGCTTCTCCTCACGAACGAGCTTAGATACGACTACCGCAGATCTTAAAGGCCTGATCAACACCATCGCTAAGTTGACGTATATGGCGAGTTTCCATCGAGCATTGCATCACTTGGACGGCGAGGCGCATAGATAAGACGAGCGGTGGATTCGTATTCATGTTGGTAAGAGCAAACACTAGGGCTCTTTTATCTATTTCCGTATCAAAGAGTGTCTAATGTAGCCAATATTGAGTCATGTTGCGATGTGCTGCGACGGGGTATCATTGACGTGGCATCTATATGGGTTGCGAAAGGGGACTTTTGCAACCCAATCATGCTACGAAAACTATGTCCAGACTGAGGCCGATGGGAAGCGCCAAAGCTGCGATTCTCTATGCTTACATGTAACAAGCTGACCGGCAGGAGCATTGCATGAGGGATATATATTGGAGAATAAGGAGCAAGCATTAATGATGAGATGAGCTCTTGTCTTTAAAAATTCGACTAGCATTGCTCCTAATTCATGGATACCTCGGCTGTTCACGTCCGACATACAGCGTATAAACCGAGCAGAGCCAAGTCCTAGCCAAGCATGTGATGATGACGGGGTATGTACAGTACTATCCAAGAGTTGGGTCTGAAAGAGAACCCATTCCCCACCCGCGATTCTCGGGCATGTCGTGGGAGTCAGACAGGGTGGGGGGGAGAACGAGAATCTTATTGTTCATGACGGGAAGAATAACCTTAACTTTCTCAAGCGCAGAGCCTCGTCTGCGCGTTTAGTCGAACTACGTGTACATCGCGCAGATTGGTCTTGATGAAGGGCTCGGTAGTTCGTATCAGAGGGGTCTGGCCTTGGTAAACTGGGCAACGTGACACAGAGTCATATGCAGTCCCGGTCAAGTAGCTCTCGCTAAGCATCCGAAACCTACTGTGGCCTATGCTAGATTTCAAACGAGCCTTGGCTGCCGCGACAATCTTGGGATCAGGAACGGGCAGTGGGTCTGGACTCACCAAGGGTCCGATGTCCTATTCGGACCGTGTCTTGATGGGTTGGCTATATGTGTCCACAGGCTATGTACGCCGGATCACTGTGCCGGCTGCAGAGGTAGGCTAGATGGGGTTTATGCAGGTATATCTAAAGACGAGCAATGGACGTGGAGGCAGCATATCTTGGTGGTTGACATCCGGGCCTGTATTGAGGACAAGATCAAACAGGGAGTCGATCATATTCTCGCCGAGAGTCATTAACGCATGTCTATTCTTAGGGCCAAACTGTTCTCTAATCTCTATACGTTTCATGCGTGTCACCCCTGCTGCTCCGTTCGCCTCTCTGGTCGTGATGGAGCGGCAGCCATTAGCATCCACCCCAACCCAGCAACTGACATATATCCAGGGTCCCTCGGCGAAGCGGCAAATTGTGCGCCTCGCCAAAGTACCTCGCATGCAATTGCGTTGCATATTTTTTCGACGGCCCGCCCCGCCGCCTTCGGCGATGCGGACCGACAAGGGGCATTGAAGGCGCGAGGCCGAGGAACCGATCCACCATGACGGTTTGGTGTCAATATTTGACTGCCAAGCGGGCGGACGGAGTGGGTGGCTTTGTGGCTTAGTCGCTGCTTGGTTGGTGGCAAGACGGGGGCGACTGGGCTTTCGACGTTGGCTGCTCTCGTCAATGCTTTCTGCCCCGAGCCCCCAACCATGGCACAGACAAAGCTTCAATGGAATAACTTAAACACTGGGCCGTGGGTGGCATTGCTTACGTTGTCTTGGCTCGCTCGAGACATCCCTGCCACGGCGAGCCAAACTCGGCCCAGTATCGGATCCGCCCGAAAATCCTCCCTCTCCCTCTCTCGCTTCCGCTCCCCGTTCGAGTCACCAAGCGAGGTCCGACTTGTAAATTCTTGGCCGACTTTTGGGACGGCTTATCCTGTCCATTCTCTCCTTTCGGCCGCCCCTGAACCCGGCCCTCCCCTGGTCCCCACCCCCTTTCCATCTCTCCCTCTCACCGAACGCAACCGTCACATCACACACAGATCTTCATCGCCATCTGGACCTGCATTCGAGAGCCTCAACGACCTCATCCTTTGCCGTCGCCGCCATGGGCGGTGTAGTTCAAATCCTCCGGCGCATGGCCGCCTACCCAGACCGCACCGAGGAGCAGCGACGTCCCTATTTGATCCTGCTCATCGTCTGCTCCGCCATGTTTCTTGATTGTGAGTACACGCAGTCACCCGTCTTTTCTCTCTAGCTAGAGGCCCAGACACATGTTTGCTTACGACCTGTTAGTGTCGAACCTGTCGGCCGTCACAATCGCGCTGCCGACAATGGGCGAGCAGCTCGGCGTCGACCAGTCGCAGCTGCAGTGGGTCATCGCCGCCTATGCCTTGACTGTAAGACGCATGCTTCTGCAGTTCCTGTCGCGTGGGCTCAACTGACGGGCCGCAGTTTGGCAGCTTCCTGCTCCTCGGCGGCCGCGGCGGCGACATCTTCGGCCACCGCCGTGTCCTGCTCTTCGGCTCCTACTTCTTCGCCCTCTTCACCCTCGTCTGCGCTCTGGCGCCCACCTTTGTTGGCCTCGTCATCGGCCGGGCCTTCCAGGGCATCGGCGCCGGCTTCACCATCCCCTCGGCCCAGGCTCACGTTGCCATCCACTTCCCCAGCCCTTCTGAGCGCGCAAAGGCCCTCGGCTTCTGGGCCGCCGCCGGCTCCGTCGGCTTCATCGCCGGCCTCATCCTCGGCGGCGTCCTGACGGCCCTGTTGTCCTGGCGCTGGATCTTCTGGATCTCTCTCATCCTGTCCGCCCTCGTCATCCCCGCCGCTCACCTGGTTCTCCCCCGACCCGACGCCAGCAAGGCCTGCTCGTCGCACCCTCCCTCGGCTTCGGACCAGGACGATGCGGCGCCCGTCGTGCTGCCGCAGCGCGAAGAGAAGAAGCTGTTTCGCTCCCTCAAGGCGCGCCTGATCCGCTTCGACGTCGTCGGCATCTGCCTCGGAGTCCCCGGCCTGCTGCTGCTCACCTACGCCCTGACGTCCGGCAACATCTCGGGCTGGGGGTCGGCGTCCATTGTTTCGACGCTCGTCCTCGCCGCCGTCCTGCTCGCCTTGTTTGCGCTGCAGGAGTCGCGCGCCAGCCAGGCCCTCGTCAACCCGCGCTTCTTTGACAATCTGTCCTTCACCATGACGCTGATGCTCGCCGTCGCCACCTATGCCGTGCGTCAGGCCTGCTCCTATTTTCTGACTCTGCAGCTGCAGTCATACGGCAACTCGCCCTTGCGCACCGCCCTCCTGTTTCTGCCCGTCGGCGTGTCCGCCCTGCTGGCAAACTCCGTCGCCGGACGCCTCGTGCCCATCCTGGGAGCCCGTGCCATGTTTGTTCTCGGCTGGGCCCTGTGCATTCCCGGCGTCGTCCTCTTCAGCCTCATCACCCCCGAGTCGAGCTACTGGCGCTTCACCTTTCCCGGCATGATTCTCTACATTTCCGGCCTCAGCGCCGTCTACATCACCGCCAACTTCGTAGTTGTCTCCTCGGCGGCAAAGAGCGATCAGGGCGCCGTAGCCGGCGTCTTCAACGTCGCCCTCCAAGTCGGGGGCAGCGTTCTCGGGCTCGCCGTCCTGACCGCCGTGGCCGAAGGCATCAACTCCCGATTCGGCACAACCGGCGCTGAGCTGTCCGAGGTCGGCTACCAAAGCGTCTACTACTCGTGCATCATACTGTGCGCAATCGCTCTCGCTCTTAGTCTGCTGGCCGTCAAGGTGCCCGACGCCATGCGCGGCACCATCTGGAAAAAGAAAGAGGAGGCGGTTGGGATGAAGGAGATGGGGGCCCCGGCACAATCCAGCCCAAGGCCCGAAGACAACCAGCCCCGGCACGAAAATCCGTTTCAATCGTCCTCGTCGTCAGCCGTCAACGGCCCCGATGAGTTGGTCAAAGAGCCTCGCCATATCGAGCAGAACGACGACAAGGCGTAGCATGGATTGCTCGATTTCAGCATCAATCATGTTAGGATAGAGAAGGCCTCGGATTTACACGGAGTTTTGAGATCTACCATGAGCCCGCAAGTGGACGTGGCCTCGAGTCTATCAAACATTCTCCAAGCCCGTGTGAACTTCAATGCGGCCAGGTACGAGACCTGACACTCAACTAAACGCAGGTCCCATTGAACCTCCATGCCGTCAAGATCTGACATGTTGGCCAATTACTGTCTAGTCGAGGGGCGATAGCGCCTTTATCCCCTTCTTAGGATTTTAAAGGAGGAAGAGATAGAGAACCACCCAGGTTCTATAAGGTAGGCGACCCCTCCGTCTGATATTCCTCTCGGGTTATTGGTCCCTACTAGCGTCTAGGTTATATCTGCCCCGCCGCCGTCTAGGTGCGTGCATAGAAACTAACCGTAACCTGCACTCTATATGACCGACGTAATCCCGCCTATCTTATTCGTCGTTATGACCACCTATAGTCCGTCCCGTCCATTTCGGTCTAATACTATACTTAAGCTGCGTATGGTGTCTAATGACTAGGCGCTAGACTATGGGCCTATATGCCCCCTATAAACCAAACTTGAGTATTCGGGGGCCCTGGGTAGAAGGGACTCCACCCCTCCTATTGTCCGCTCCCGCCTGTCACGTACCTTTGACCTCCGGTCGAACAAGTCGCTCGGCTCCTGGCCAACGGTGTATTGTTTTGGGGTGTTTCGGGTGTTGGGGTGACTTCCGTGTGTTTGTCAGTGTCAGTGTATTGTGTAGTCAAGTGAGTAGGTGACTGAGTGAGCAGTAGAGTAGATTAGAGTGTTGTGTGTGTTGTTGCACTCACTCAGTCCGTGTTTCCGTCTGTTATGCTTTCATCTCGTCCCTTTGCTCGTTGCACTCGCAGGTCCTCCGTCCCGTGACTATGTAGTTGTTCTTGTAAACGAGTTGACTTAGTCTAAGAATCGTGAGCGTGGCTCCTTATAGCCGAACCTCCGGCTTGTCTGCACACCCTGCGGGTATAAATTCTATAGTAAAAACAAATTTATATTATTACTCGCATGCAGCCTCTAGGGCCATAGCGAGGCTAATAGGGGCCTAGGCCCCTATTAGCAGTCCTAGCTAGCTATAGAGCCCGGGGGCTTATAACTAATTAGGGAAAGGGTAGCTATAAAGGTAAAGGTAAAGGAAAGGTTAATCTGGTTCCTCCTACGCGGTGCTTTCCCCCCCCTAAGGGCCCTAGGGCCCCTAGGTTACTCCTTTTTAAGCCACTTAGCTGTCCCTATCTCTATCTTAGCTAAGGTTAGTATTACGACCACGGCTACTAGGCCGCTAACGGTCGACCGCGTTAATATAAGGGTATTTACCCTTGGTATAGGTCTAGGCATTAGCCTAGACCTTAGCCGACAGCGTTGCGGGGCAGGGTAGGCCGCACGCATAAACGCGTATTTAGTAGCGGTGGGCGCGGCGCATAGTTAGATCCTATATAGCTTATTATTATAATATAACGGAAGGCACCTATAGTATAACCCTCTGCCTACCCCGTAATAGTATAAGCTATTATTATATTAGTCCCGATGTTAGAACCTTAGTAGTACTAGCTAGGGCAGCAGTAGCAGTAGCAGCTACTATAGGAAGAAGCCTAGCAATAATAGCTACGGTAATAGGCAGAAGAGCTATACTAGCAACACCTATAGGAAGAGGCCTAGTAGTAATAGGACGAATAAGCCCGGTTTATAAAGCTATTCTACTAGATATTATAAGACCTAAACTAACGAGTAACCCTACGCCGGATCCTTAATACCCTCCTAACGCTAGCTCTAATAAATACGCCCCTTACTACTAAGAGGTCGGAGCGCGAGGCGGCCCTTAGTAGACGGAAGCTACTACCTTAGCCTACCTAGGACGGTAAGCTAGAGACCTTTTACTTCTTCCTTAACCGCTTAATAGTAAAATACTATATTAACGAGAAATAAGGCCTTAATAGCTATAAGGAGACGGCTTAGTTCTCGCTCCTCTATACGCTACTAGAGCCCTAAATATAGTAAGTAGCGGGCTTTTAAGAGCGGGGCGGTCCTAGGGGGACGAAAGACCCTTAAGTATTCTTTAACTACTTAGTCTACGCCTTTAGCAACGTATAGGAATAGGAGAAGGCGTAGGATAGGCTATAGACCCTTACTTAGTAAGAGGGGCAGTCCTTTAGGGAGTTCTTACCGGAATTCGAAGAGACCCTAACCCGGGCGGCGGGTAATACCGCCTAGGATAACGGCGCTAAGCTTACCTAGCTATAGAACTCGATCTCCCTAGCGCTCTATAAGCTGCTTATCCCTATTATAATGCCCTCTGCCTACGAGGGCTACGTAGGCCGCCTTATAAAGGTGGCCTAGGGATATAAGTAGACGCCGCGCTTTTAGAAGCTATATAAGCGCCTAGCCTTAAGCGGGATTAACGGGCCGGATAGCTCCTCCCCGCTTAACCCGTCTACGCCCGGGCCCGCTCCTAAGTCGGCGGTCGATGCGGACGGCGACGTCTAGATAGCGCTTATACGCCTTAGGGGGCGCGGCAATAGTAAAACCCTAGCCGCTTTACTAGCGGCGTAGTCTAGTAAGACGGCTAAGTAGGTGCCTTACGAAGAAATTAGTAAACGACGTAAAGAGGGCCGCTATATACGTTATAGCGTAAGTATATATATAGTTAAGTCTTACTCCTACCTCTTAGTAAGGAGGCTAGTAGAGATATAAATTACCTACGCCCTATTAAAATCTACTCTTAGTAAGGAAGCTAGTAGAGATATAAATTACCTATGCCTTATTAGAATCTAACGATAAGGGAGATAGGGGAACCTCCGCTATATATAAAGCGGAGGGAAAAGCTTAGCTCCGGTATAAAGGCGGGCCTTAGAGCTTAGTAAGCTAATACTAGCTAAGGAGGACCTAGTAAGGCGTATTAAAGAAGAACCTACTTTAATACTAGTTATTATTAACTAGACTTACCTCCTCTCTACCCTTATAGACGAGGGTTACTAGTATTACGCCGTAATTAATAAAGCGAAAGCCCTTAAGCTATACTTACTAGTAGAGAAGATTCGCCCTAGGTATATAAAGGGCGCCTCGGCCGCGATAGAGGGCGCGGTTATTAAAGGCGTCGCCTAGGTAGCTATAGAGGTTAACGGCCTCCCGCGGCTTCTAGTAGTATATATAGTCCCTTAGCTTAAGTTTCCCTTAATTCTTAGGAAGCTATAGTTAACGTATACGGAGTTATATTCGGTACCGTATAAGGGGAGGCTATAGTTTAGCCCTATATAGTCCTAGGTCCGGTATAGCGGTAGGGAGGGAGCGCCGGACGCCCTACCTAACTTATAAGACGCCTAGGAAGTCTTAGCCTCGGTATTTATAGGCATTATATAGTAAATCTATAGGCGGAAGGGGCCGGCTATAACTATAGCGTCGATCTATACGGTTAGCTTAGCGGATATTAAGAAAGCGCTATAACTAAAGCGCCCTTTATTAAAAGAGGAGCTATAGTAGGCTATCCCGCCGCGGTTCTACGACCTACTACCGCTCTTTTAGAAGAGCGAGGCCGATAAGTTAAACCCCTATAAGCCGGGCGTAGACTACTCGATACCGCTCTATATAAGGGATAACGGTAAGGAGCTTCCCCCGCTATTCGGGCCGCTATATAGTATATTATAAGAGGAACTACTAGTATTAAAGAAGACCCTTATAGACCTCCTTAATAAGGGATTTATTAGGGCTAGCTCCTCTAAGGCAGCGGCTCTAGTCCTATTTATATAGAAGCTAAGGGGGGGACTTTACTTCTACGTAAACTACTAAGCGTTAAACGCGATTATACGCCTAGACCGGTACCCCCTCCCGCTTATAAGAAACACCCTCTATAACCTAGTAAAGGCAAAGTAGTTTATAAAGCTCGATATTATCTAAGCGTTTTATAAGGTATAAATAGCGTATAGGGAGGAGTAGAAGATAGCGTTTTATATAAAATATAGCTTATTTAAGTAGATAGTTACCCCCTTTAGCTTAGTAGGTGCCCTAGCTACGTTCTAATATTATATTAACCGGGTGCTTAAGGGTTTCCTTAATAAGTTTATATTTATATATATAGATAATATTCTTATCTATTTAAGCGGGAGCTACGAAGACTATATATAAAAGGTATAGAAGGTACTAAACCGCCTAGCGGAGTATAGCTTATACTTAGACCTAGATAAATATAAATTTAGCGTTAAGCGCGTTAAATACCTTAGCTTTATTATTATCGCGGGCGTTAGCGTATAAGCGGACCTAGCTAAGATTTAAGCTATCCGCGACTAAGCGACCTTAATATTATAATAAGGCGTATAGAGCTTCCTTAGCTTCGCTAACTACTACTAGGTCTTTATTAAGGAGTTCTTATAGATCGTACTACTACTTAATAAGCTAATAAAGGATAGGGCCCCCTTCTCTTAGGAACTTATATAAGTAGAGGCGTTCTAAGCCCTTAAGGACTTATTTTTATAGGCCCTAATACTACTATAATAGGACTTTAATAATCCCTTAACTATAAAAGCGGACTATAGTAGCTATATACTTAAGGGAACCCTATCCTAAGAAGTAGAAAGGTAGAGGAGGCTAGTAGCGTTCTACTTATATAAGCTTACCGCGGCGGAGAGGAACTACTTAATCTATAATAAGGAGATATTAGCGATTATTAGCTACCTCGAATAGTAGTAAGCGGAGCTCTATAGCTACGAGAGCTTCGAGATCTTTATAGACTATAGGAACCTTAAATACCTTATAACCTAATAGTATCTCTTAGAGCGGTAAGCGCGCTAGGCGGAGTATCTCTCGCGCTTTTAGTTCCGTATTAAATATAGACTAGGTAAGGAGGCTATAGTCCTAGACGCCCTTTTATAGAGAGAGTAAGACCGGCCTACCTCTATAAACCTTAACGCGCGAGATATATAGATAATCCTAGATAAGGCGCTCTAGACTTACCTCGGCGCTACT